TTGGAGACCTGGGCATGAGCGGCGAGCGCTCGTTAAACAACTCGTCTAGCCCAACGACCGGTACTGTCCGGCAGGTCTACTGAGTTCAGTGTGGAGGGTCTGAACTCCGAGCTGTAGGCTGAAACGAAGGCCGTCTTTAAGTGTTGAGGCCTGGTTGAGCCACTCCCCTACCGGACCCAGAAGGCTGATGATCCGTGTCTGACGACTCGACTGTCCCGAGGGATACGAACCCCTCCAAGGACCGGTACTAACSGGCGGGCTRCTCGGTGTGGCACAGGAGGCTGGACGGGCTGAGTTGTGGGCTGAAATCGCCAGAGGAACCAAGCTGATCGCGTCGTCCTGTCTGCGACGTTAAAGAATTCTTGCGGAGTTTGGGGGATCTCCTTAAATGCCTCCTGATCAGCTCTTGGTTCTGTAGTGACAGCCTTAGAGTAGTCTTGGGTTAGTAGTGGCCATAGTTGATAGGGTCTTATCCTGTGGTCCTTAGGAAGTCAGTCAGTAGGTTAGTGTGTCCGGGTAGGGCAACGTGGTGAGGAGTGGGACCCTTGTCGTGCACCAACACCACGATGGACGACTACCCGATGTATGGGTTGCTGGTTGGGCTCTCCCTCTGGGGCACCCTCTGGCATCTCCTCTTTCCTCTGGGATTTTGGCATACCTTTGCGTGTAGAGTAGGGCCCACTCGAGGTGGTACCGCCACCCAACCATACACGAAGGAGGAGGAGGAGAAGATGGCCGCCATCCTGCAGGAGAGGAAGGAGAAGAAGGAGGCCAAGAAGAAGGCCTTGAAAGAGGAACAGGCGGCCAAACTAAAAAAGATGGAAGAAGAGATGGCCAGGGAGAAAGAGAGGTTGAAAAAGGAAGAAGAAGAGAAGCTGAAGGAGGTGGATGAAGAAGAGGAAGGACCACCACTGCAAAAGAGTGGGCAGCACAGCGACAACAACAGTGATGAGATGGAGAAGAAGATTTCGGAGTGGGTCCCCAACTTATCCCTGGGTGAGGAGGAAGAGGTTGCTATGTACATCCCCAAGGATGAGCAAGAAGCCGCCATGAAGAAATGGGAAGCAGAAGAAGATGTTCTGGCGCGGCGGGTGATGGAGGATGAACAGAGGATGGCGTGGAAGCTCGCAGTGATGAGGGAGAAGAAGAGAAGAGTGGAGGCGGCGAATGCAGCAATGCAAGAACTAGCGGAGGTGAGGACTGCCTTAACAACACAATTGACTCCGCAAGTAGATCTCCAACGCAAAGTGGAGATCATCGCCCAGAGCATTGACCGGTTAGCTAAAGTGCAAGAAAAGCACTATGAGTTTAGTCGCGGCCAGGAGATATCCGTGCGTTCGATGCGAACGGGATCACAGGATTTTGCTCGCGAACTAGTAGGCGCTGTGGGATCCGAGGTGAGTCATCGCCTCGAGAAGACTGAGCGTTTTTGTGTCGGCGCCATCGAAGGCGTCAAGGTGGCCACTCCCAAGGAGGAGGAGGCCCGTCCTCGCAGGGAGTCAGTCAAAGTCAAATTCCCTGATTCCTACAGTGGGAAAAGGGAAGAGAACTTTGACAATTGGGAGGCCAATGTTAAGACCTATGTGCATTTGCAACAGGTCTCCCCGGATCAGCAGGTCTTAATTGCGATCCATGCACTTAGAGACGAGGCCGCCAGTTTTGCGAGATCCCTTGTTCGTGCTGCCAACTGTAGTGACGATCCAGTTACGTATTCCTCGTTTACGTCCCTCATTGAATTCTTGAAGCTGCTGCACGAGCGATTCGCTGATGTTGCCCGTAGTGTCAAAGCCTGAGATAGGCTTCAGACAATACACTCGCGTCAATGGAAGAGTGCAAGGGCACTCAAGGGCACAATGGATGAGTTGGTGGCTGTTCCTGACCACAAGGTCACGGAAACCCAGTTGGTCAACCTTTTCTATCGGGCTATGTCCGAAATGCTGCGTGGTCACTTCTTTGACAAGAGTCAGGACCCTGCTATGACTTATGATATACTTAGCAGGGAAGTGGTCGCGTTCGAGGCAAAGTCTGCGTCGATTTCCACCTTCTGGAAGGGCCGCACTATCTCAGGGCAAGTCAAGACCAAGGATAGCCTTGTGCTCACTTTAGATAAGGGTAGTGTGGACGAGATCCCCTACGACCAGATTGAGTGGGGGTTCGAGGAGGAGGACAGTAGTGTGGGCCAAGGGAGGACTTACGCTGCTGTCGCGGCTGGAGGGAGGCCGCAAGGAGGACGAGGCCGAGGCCAAGGCCAAGGGGGCCGGGCCTCAGGGAGCCGGTTCCAGGGCGATCAGGGGGTTGGCGGCAGAGGAGGGAACCGCCAAGCGGGAGGCAGGGGTCAAGGTCCCCCGCAAAACCGTCCTAGGAACAGGTCTCCCTATAGAGTAGGAGGATGGCACCCAGGGCTACCTCAGGGTAGGCCGTAGGAATCTTTGGGTCTGGACCAGGCTTTATGGCAACAACGATTGAACCGGGGCCAGTGCATTTTCTGCGGTGACCCGGGGCATATCATTAAGTATTGTCCTAAGTATCGAGAGACCCGAACGGCTGCTCAAGAGCCAAAAGGCAGCCGCCGGTAGGGGTAGCAACTGCCCCTACCACTAGGCCATGTGGGGAAAATAGCGCTAGCCGGCAGGAGACTCCCACACCACATGTGCCTACGGCAGAGGTTGCAGGCCAGTGTCTAGACAGCTGTCCCGAGACTGCTTGTGTTAGAGTTTCGCTACACACCTCCCTCACAGGCGTGGGGGAAGAGTTGAAGGAGAGGAGGCCCACCTGGGCCAAGATGAAGAAGGAGAATAAAAGGCAGCTGATTTTATTAGATGCAGAGATTTTTAGAAGTAGAGTAGGGGCCCTAGTAGACTCAGGGGCCACCCGCAGCTATATTAGTAAGCAAACGCTGCAGAAGTTGAGGCTGGGACTTAAGGTCCAGAAACTGACAGACCCCATAGTTAGTATCCTCGCGGACAATCGTATCATGGTTGTAGAGGATTACGTAGAGGGAGTTCAGGCGTATTTTCGCCTAGAGAAAGATGGGAAGGTGGAGAAGGTTCTCCACTCCCTGACTCTCCTCGTAGAGGACAGCCTCCCGTTTAATCTAGTACTGGGAATGGATTGGGGAGAGGCAGCCGGGGCAACGCTCCATCTGAAGGAGCACAAGTGTAGACTCCCTAGTTCTGCAGGCGAGGCTAAGATTGCCCGTTTGTTTCATGTGTCGGGAGTAGAGAATTCCTTGGCACATTGCTGCCTTAGTGCCCCTGCGTTCACCAGATTGGTGAAGAAGGAGAAATTAGATGAACAGGTCTTTGTTGCCTATGTTAGGCCCGTCACTGAGCCTACGGAAGAGAAGTCGATGGACCCTGCGATTGCCAAGCTGCTGGAGGAGTTAAAAGGATTTGACTGAGCCGCCGACAGGCACGGTGCCGCGGCCCATCCAGCACCGTATTGAGATAGAGCCTGGCAGTAGAACTCCTAAGGGTGTTGTGTATAGGATGTCCCCGCGGGAGTTAGAGGAGCTTCGCAAGCAATTAGACGAGCTCCTCGAGAAGGGTTGGATTAGGCCCAGTTCGTCTCCTTTCGGAGCGCCTGTTCTCTTTGTTCCTAAGAAAGAGGGAGAGCTGAGAATGTGCATAGACTATAGGGGTCTGAATGCTATTACAGTAAAGAATGCTGAGCCACTGCCTAGGATCGACGATCTCTTAGATCGAGTGCAGGGGGCTAAGTATTTCTCTAAGATAGACTTAAAGTCCGGATATCATTAGATAGAGGTACACCCAGATGATCAGTATAAGACAGCCTTTCGGACTAGGTACGGGCATTATGAGTTTATAGTGATGCCCTTTGGACTAACCAATGCGCCAGCAACTTTTCAGCGGTGTATGAATGATTTGTTTAGGCCGTGGTTAGACAGATTCGTTGTAGTTTATCTAGATGACATCCTAGTGTTTAGCCGGACCCTCGAAGAGCATCAGGGTCATCTCAGGCAAGTCTTGGAGAAGCTGAGAGAAGCTAACTTCAAGATCAATGCAAAGAAGTGCGATTGGGCGAAGACCCAAGTTTTGTATCTAGGCCACGTCTTAGACGGAGACGGCGTTAAGCCAGAAGATAGCAAAATCGCAGCGATTAGAGATTGGCCAACGCCACGTACGCTGACAGAGTTGCGCTCGTTCCTGGGCCTAGCTAACTACTATAGAAAGTTCGTGAGGAACTTCTCCACCATTGCTGCGCCCCTTCGCAGATTGCTGAGAAAAGAGACAATCTGGAAGTGGGACAAGGACTGCACATCTGCCATGAAGAAGCTAAAGCAGGCATTGATAGAGTATCCGGTCCTTAAGGTCGCCGATCCGTCCTTGCCTTTTGTCGTTACTACGGATGCTAGCCAGTACGGCATAGGCCCAGTGTTACAGCAAGACGATGGCAATGGCTATAGACCCGTAGAGTTCATGTCCGCCAGGATGCCTTCAGAGAAGGTCGCGACATCTACCTATGAAAGGGAACTCTACGCTCTCAGGCAAGCCTTAGACCACTGGAAGCACTACTTGCTTGGGAGGCACTTCAAAGTCTATTCTGACCATGAGACATTACGATGGTTAAAGACGCAGGCCAAGATGATACCTAAGCTTACTAGGTGGGCCGCAGAGATAGATCAATATGACTTTGAGCTCAAGCCTGTCAAAGGGAAGTACAACGTAGTCGCGGATGCTCTGAGTAGGAGAGCGGATTACTTTGGGGCAATAGTACATTACCTCGATATAGGGAAGGACCTGCAGCAAAGGGTTAGAGAAGCTTACGCGCAGGACCCTATCTATAGTGAGCTCCTTAAGAAAGTCAAGGAGGCCCCAGAGACTGAACTGAATTACCGCACTACCGAAGGGTTGCTTTTTGAGAAGACTAATGTGTCTGACCGC